AGCCCACCTCATGGTGAATTATTGGGGCAAAAGAGAAAAGGTGCCCAAGCATGGAAAAGGAAAGGATGGATTCAACTCCTGGACAATCCAGGAGAATCCAAAAGCAGCTGAGGTTTCCATTGAATTCAATCTAACTAGTATTACTCCGAACATGGCTGTGGGCGTTTTGGTCTATGCTGCAGACATCCTTCAGAGGCAGATGGTCAACTAGGGCACGCACATCACCAATAACCATAAAGAGCTACCATGAGGGGCCAGGCTCAGTGGCTCATGTCTGTAATCCCAGGCATGAGCCTGGGCAACATGGCAAGACCTCATCTCTACAAAAAAATTTAAAAATTAGCTGGGCATGGTAGCATGTGCCTGTAGTCCCAGCTACTTGGGAGGCTGAGGTGGGAGCATCACTTGAGCCCAGGAAGTAGAGGTTGCGGTGAGCTATAATGGCACCATTGCACTCCAGCCTGGGCAACAGAGCAAGATTCTGTCACAAACAACAACAGTAAAACACAAAACTCCCAGATGATTCTAAAGCTCAGCCTGGGTTGGTAACTACTTACATAGAGCAGGAGTTGACTGGGGACTTTTGGGGAGGAATGAGCTGTACCATTTGGAAATTTGGGGCATATTAGGTGGGCAGGCAGAGGCAGAACCTGCAGAGCTGGAGGACACCTTGGAGTTAGCAGGCCTTGGTGCCTGTGATTCAGTCCCCAAGTACTGAAGCTCTTATTCTCCTTAAATGAATCTCCCTGCTATTCAGGACAGGCAACAAAGGGGAAGTGGTTTTACACATCTCAAACCTAGAGAGAGTCCTATGTTGGGATTGCATGGGGCATTTTACCACTTTCTCTAATAGATCCTTCCAACCAGCACTCATAGATAAGGAGAGTAGAGAGAAGGTAGAGGTTTCATTTTATCTTAGCAAGAGGAGAAATCGCAGGAGTTAGAGGAAAGCTGGGGAGATGACTAGCTTAAAATTCTTGGCCAGGTGAGGTGGCTCACGCCTGTAATCCCAGCACTTTGGGAGGCCAAGGTGGGCGGATCACCTGAGGTCAGGAGCTCGAGACCGGCCTGACCAACATAAAGAAACCCCGTCTCTACAAAAAATGCAAAATTAGCCGGGCACAGAGGCACACACCTGTAATTCCAGCTATTCAGGAGGCTGAGGCAGGAGAATCACTTGAACCCAGGAGGCAGAGGTTGCAGTGAGCCAAGATCGCACCATTGCACTCCAGCCTGGGCAACAAGAATGAAACTCTGTCTCAAAAAAAAAAAAAACTAAACCAAAGAAAAAAAAAAAAAAACATTCTTTTCTCTGCTCCACCATCCTGGCCACCCTCCACCCCCAAATAGTACATAACAGAGCATATATCCTCTTTTTGGAGTGGCTGTTCCTCGATATTCTAGAGGAACCGGTTAATTTCTGATATTAAAGCTCAACCATTCAAAATTACAAGAGTCTTAACTTGTAAGTCACAGCCTATACAAAGCAGGTAAGTCTTCCCTTAATAAAATGTATTGTGCATCTGTCTTGGGTGACCCAGCACAGTGTTCTAGGGGCTTGAGAACACAGAAATGAGCAAGTCCTGGCCCTGTTCCCAAGGCCATGCAGTAGAAGAGACAGCTTCTCATGGGATAAGGACTGGGATTGTGGCAGCACACGGTTTTTGCTGGGGCACATAGGAGACACACCTCACCTGGGCCAGGGTGACCAGGTAGCCAGGCAAATGGTGGTGGGTGGGCTAGAGGGGGCCGGTGGTTATTCATTCCAGGCAGAGGAGGCAGCAAGAACCAAGGCAAAGGAAACCTGACCAAGGACAGAGGGAGTGACCTATTCCAGTTACTTGTGATGGAACTTAGAATTCCAAGAAGGAGCTTATTTCTCAAATGACAGTAGAGATGCAAGGCACCTGAGGGCAGGGGCCTCAGAGCCATGTTGAATGAAGACTGTGGTCTTGATGTCAAGAGCAAAGGGCAGTTTCATAGAGCAGGGAAATGTCATCATCAGATCTGAAGACTACTCCAGCCGCTGAGTGAAGAGAACGTGGCAAGTTTCAAAAATAGGAAGAACAAGGAATGTGCCATAGAGGGAGAGACACCATGAAAAAGACAGAGAAGCAGTACCTGGCGAGGCAAGGAGAAAACCCTAGAAGTGAAAGGAAGAATGCTCAAATGTGAAATCCAAGAAGCTAGGGCCTGAAAAGTGTCTGCTGAGTTTGAATTTACCTGGAGCAGACCGACTATAGGTGACCTTGGCCAGACCTTGGCCAAGTGGTGGGTTCAAGCCAGATTCCAGTGGTTTGAGGTGTAAATGGAAGCGAGGAAGCAGGGTTGAATGTAAACAACTCTTGCCCCAAGCAAGGCAATTAAAGAGGGTAGAGAGATAGCTTGATGGCTTATGGTGAAGGTCAAATGAGATAACGCATGCGCAAGGACCTGGTGACTGGTGCTGTCCAACACTTGCTCAGGATTATGAGAGCACGAAGTTCTATCCACATCCTCACCACCAGCTGCCAGTGTCCTAAGGGCCAAGGAGAGCTTCCTGCTTGCCATATACCAACTCCTTTACTCTTTACCACAGCTCTGTGAGATGGGGATGATCGTTCCACTTTATAGATGACAAATTAAAACTCAGGGAGACCATTTGCACTGGGTCATTACCAAGCCACAGAATGGGGATTAAACCAGGCATCAGTCTTGGAAGTCTGTCCTCTTTCCAACATGTGACACTGTCCCTTTGTGTTCTTTAAATAGGGAATTCTGGAAGATGGGCAAGGTTTCCCAACAACCCAAGTCATGGCTTGCCAGTGGTGATGGGTGGTCAGCGTGGGGCTGAGTTTGAACAGCTCTTGGTTGAAGCGTGGTGGACTCTGCAGCAGCGCTTTGCTCTGGTTATGCTGTTGGAGGCATCTTCAAATATGAGTCTTCCGTGGGATGTAGCAACAGTGACTAGACTCTGTTTCCTCACTCTCTACTCCCTGGGTTCAAATCCCGCCCTCATCACTTACCATCTGCAAGCTTTAATTTTCAAGTCAGGGAAAAAAAATAAAGAGAATAAAATAAATCTGCAGGTTATACAGAGATAATATAATCATCAGTCACATAAGAGAATGTTTATAAAGTACTTTGCCCAGTGCAGATACAATAAGCACTGAGTAAATAGTGGTTATTAGCATTTATATTGGTCCTCCACCTCATCCGCATTGCACATCTGCACTTAAACCCTAACCCAGGCTGACTCTCCAACAGCGTAATCATCGGGGCAAAGGGCTGCTGCTGTAGGCTTCACCATTCCTCCACTGAGAGCTGTTGAAACTCAGACCCATGGGACATCCCCTGACCAAAAGAGTCTCCTTCACCACTGGCAAGCCATAACCGGGGTTCTTGAAAACCTTGCCCATCTTCCAGGGTCCCCTATTTAAACGCAAGTAGCCCTAAGAAAGGTCCGTAGAAGGCAGGACATTGACCTCTGGCAAACAGAAAACAGGCAGAAGGCAGAGAGAAAAACCAACCATGTCAGTGTTAATAATATTAGAGCTTTGGCCGGGTACACTGGCTCACGCCTATAATCCCTGCCCTTTGAGAGGCAGAGGTGGGTGGATCACCACCTGAGGTCAGGAATTTGAGACCAGCCTGACCAACATGGTGAAACCTCATCTCTACTTAAAAAAAAAAAAAAATGCTGGGCGCCGTGGCTCACACCTGTAATTCCAGAACTTTGGGAGGCTGAGGGGAGTAGATCACCTGAGGTCAGGAGTTTGAGACCAGCCTGACCAATATAGTGAAACCCCATCTCTACTAAAATTACAAAAATTAGCCTGGTATGGTGGCATGAGCTTGTAGTCCCAGCTACTCAGGAGGCTGAGGCAGGAGAATCATTTGAACTCAGGAGGCAGAGGTTGCAGTGAGTCAAGATTACGCCACTGCACTCCAGCCTGGGTGACTAGGTCTCAAAAAAAATAAATTGAAAAAAAATAACAAGCCAGGCATGGTGGCTCATGCCTGTAATCCCAGCACTTTGGGAAGCCGAGGAGAGTGGATCATGAGATCAGGAGTTTGAGACCATCCTGACCAACATGGTGAAACCCCGTCTCTACTAAAAATACAAAAACTAGACAGGCGTGATAGTGCACACCTATAGTCCCAGCTACTCAGGAGGCTGAGGCAGAAGAATTGCTTGAACCCAGGGGGTGGAGGTTGCAGTGAACCGAGATCTCCCCAGTGCACTCCAGCGTGGGAGACAGAGTAAGACTCTGTCTCAAAATAATAGTAGCCGGGCGCGGTGGTGCATGCCTGTACTCGGGAGGATGAAGCTGGAGGATCTCTTGAGTCCAGGAGTTCTGGGCTGTAGTGCACTATGCTGATCGGGTGTCCACACTAAGTTTGGCGTAAATATGGTGACCTCCCAGGAGTGGGGGACCAGCAGGTTGCCTAAGGAGGGGTGAACCGGCCCAGGTTGGAAACGGAGCAGGTCAAAACTCCCATGCTGATCAGTAGTGGGATTGCGCCTGTGAATAGCCACTGCACTCCAGCCTGGGCAACATAGCGAGACCCCATCTCCTAAAAAGAATGATAATAATGTTGGCAGGGCGTAGTGGCTCACGCCTGTAATCCAAGCACTTTGGAGGCCAAGGCAGGTGGATCACCTGAGGTAGGGAGTTCAAGACCAACCTGACCAACATGGTGAAACCCTGTCTTTAAAAAATAATCATAATAATAATGTTAGAGCTTTGAGGTCACTGACTCTAACCCTATGCTCCCTGCATTGAACCTCATTGTAATTCAGCACTCAGGCCACTCCAGAAAATATAATGTAAAAATCAACAATTCCTGACCAGGCGCAGTGGCTCATGCCTATAATTCCAGCACTTTGGGAAACCAAGGCAGGTGGATCACCTGAGGTCAGGAGTTCAAGACCAGCCTGACCAACATGGAGAAACCCTGTCTCTATTAAAAATATAAAATTAGCCAGGCATGGTGGCATATGCCTATAATCCCAGTTACTCAGGAGGCTGAGGCAGGAAAATCACTTGAACTCGGGAGGCAGAGGTTGCAGTGAGCCAAGATCACGTCATTGCACTCTAGCCTGGGCAACAAGAGTGAAATTCTGTCTCAAAAAAAAAAGAAAAAGAAAATCAACCATTCCTCCTACTCTTTTCTATATCCCAGTCCCAGGAATGGACATGGTCTTCTGTTTCACACATAACCTTTGAAATCGTTCTCTATACATACAAAAAAAATTGCACGTGAATGTTTGAGGATGATACTGTTCAAATTTTTCTCCAATTCACTTTCTTCACCACTTGATACCGTAGGCGTCCTTCATGTCAGAAACACAACTGGCCAAGCATGGCAGCTCACTCCTGCAATCCCAGCACTTTGGCAGGCTGAGGTAGGAGGATGGCTTGAGCCCAGAAGTTTGAGGCAAGTCTGGGCAACAAAGCAAGACCCTATCTCTACAGAATAACATAATCAGCTGGGCATGGAGGCTCGCGGTTGTAGTTCCAGCTATTTGTAAGGCTCAGGAAGGAGGGTCTCCTGAGCCCAGGATTTCAAGGCTACAGTGAACTAGAATCGCACCACTGCAGCACTCCAGCCTGACCAATAAAGAAGGACCCTGTCTTTATAAAAAAATAAAAAGGAAAGAAAAGAAATACAAATCTCCCCCCTTAATAACAGCTATCTAATTTTCTGCGGTATCAATGTGGCTGCACCTTTTAACCATTAGTTCCAGTATTTTGATCTCAAAAATTGCATTTTTATAATATAGGGTCCTAAGAGTGGAATCATTTGGTCCAACTCGTTTGTAAAAGCTGTTAGTTAATACAAGATCACCCTCTAAATATGCTTTCCTTTCACTCCCAAGTCTGGAACATAAGGACTACATGGTATCCTGATACAATTGTGATCTAGCAGTCTCTGCAGGAGAACAACTGAGCTGGAAGAAACAATTACAGTTTGTTGAGTTCGCTTTGTTTAAAAAGGTATATAATACATATTAGGAAAGACTGCAACTGAAAATGACTCAGCAAACAATTTCTGAGCCCGTGTATTTTGCCACCTGTATTTTGTGAAGTTCTGGGGAGAGGAAGACAAATAGGATGCCACCCTGCTTGTTCGCAGTCTGCAAGAAGAGGCAGAGACTGGGGGCAGTGGGATACTTGTGTGGGGTAAGCCAGCCAGAAACACAGGGCAGATCTGGCTGGAAGAAGCTTGGTGTGCACACGATAAAGCGAGAGAGGTGAAGAGGTGCCAGAATCCAAAGGACTCTGAATGCCACACAAACAGCTTTATACTTTTCCTCAAAACTCGGCAAATCTGTTAAAACCCTTCAAGTTGGGGAATGACAGGCAGATTTGCTACAGAGTGGGGAATGGATTGAAAGGAAGCCGACTAGAGAAGAGGAAATAGGCTAAGCTGTCCCAGGGTTCTGCATATAGGGACCAGCAAGGGTTCCTGAAGCCAAATTGGAGGGCATTCAAGGAAGAGGATGGTGTGGATTCTGTGCCTTATTCTACCCAGAGGTGAGGCCAGAGTAGACAGAGATGTGGGGACAGAGTTTCTTGGCCAGGCGTGGTGTCTCATACCTGTAATCCCAGTATTTGGGGAGGCCAAGGTGTGCGGATCGCTTGAGCCCAAGAGTTCAAGACCAGCTTGGTCAACATAGCAAAACCCTGTCTCTATTTAAAAAAAAAAAAGAATTTCTTGAAGGTCACTAAAGAATAGGCTAATTTTGCTAATGTCATGTACTGGTGAAGCCAGGTCAGGGAAAAGTTATAGTAGATCCCTCAGTCTGCTGAAAAGAAAGTCATAAGAATGTGATGGGGAATGGCCGGGCGTGGTGGCTCACACCTGTAATCCCAGTACTTTGGGAGGCCGAGGCGGGTGGATCACCTGAGGTCAGGAATTCAAGATCAGCCAGGCCAACATGGTGAAACCCCGTCTCTAAAAAAAAAAAAATTATTAAAACAAAGAATGTAATGAGGAGCACATGCTAGGGCTCCACCTTGAGGTGAGGATGGTCCCTAGGAGACACAGTCTGATTTGGCAATCCAGACATTTGCTCCCAAGGCCCTCTCTGTCCTGGGCCCTGTCTCCTGATCCAGCAGACGACCCTCTGTGCTTCTCTTTACTACTTCATATCCTCTATAGCAGGACACTGGGCCTGAAATGCCCATAGTGTTTCTGAAGGAGGAAAACAAAACTCACCAGCAAAACGACAGCTGAAGTTTTTTTAAAAAAGAGACCATGATATGATTTAAAGGCTTTGGGGAAAAGATGTGTGATATTCAAACCCCAGAGATTTCAGTGTTATGTATATTTCAGAATTTTTCTCCATCGTATCCCCAGAGACATTTCATGTACATTTTAAATGAAACTGTGGACTTCCCTGTTTTCCAGAGACCCAACTCTGAAAAAACAGTGCCTTCAACTTACTTCATGGAGACAATGGGCTTCTCAAAGAACCCAATACCTGGAGTTTTTCCTCTATCCCAACCCTGGTTAGAAACTTGTTTTCTGAGACCAGGAATGAGCTCACCCTCCAGGGGTGTAATTCAGTATCACACCAACCAAGAGGGATCACAGGACACCCTCCGGGGTGGGGCAAGCACTTCCAGCATACTCCAGAGACGAAACAGAGGCCAGCATTGTCATTCCCCTCCCCGAGAAGGATCAATATGAGCCCGTCGGTGTAAACAGATCCTCCTCTGCACCAATGAAGCCACACAGGAACATCTAAAAGAGAGGTAACAACGCCACTTTGTGAGGCTACTGGCATGGTGCCATCTTGCTTCTCTATCCCAAGAGGGCAGGGCCAAGGTGCCACCTGCATATTTGGGCAATAAGCCTCACTACACATTTGGGAAACATCCACGAGCTATTTGAGTAGTTTGTGTGGGGTTGCAGGTTCACCCCAGGCAGAGGCCAAAGTCTCCCACATAGTGGCATCATAGAGAAGTGCTATCTCTTCTCTCTACAGGGACCAGAGATATTTGTAATGTAGGTAGGGCATGGTCTGGTCTCGGTAGAATGAATGCAAGCGGGGGGATAAGAGCCAGCATTGTGTGTTCTTTTCCACCCTGCAAGTCTTGAGCCTCACACAAAGACCCTCCTTCAGGCGGCCAGTCTGTGCCAAGTCCGTTCTGTTTTCACACCTCTGTTTCAAGATAAGAGGTAATGCATGAGAATCACATAACCGAGTTGCAAAATGAACCTGATCAGCTAAAATTGGCTATTTTAGGTGCCAAAGTGGGAGCAAGCTTGGGAGGTGCTCAGTGGGGCCCTGTTTTCCTTCCTGCTCAGCCAAAAGCAGCACATGTCATAGGCCTCCTATTGGCTGGGCCGTTGGCTAAGGCTGAGAGATCCCAGGGACTTGTGCTCAGCCAAGCACACTGACTTTCACTCACTGCCTCTTAGAAAGCATTGAGGTTAGCTGACACCAGGAAGCCCGCCTCCAACCCTCCCAGCAGCCCAGGCAACTGCTCCGTTGGTTGGCGGCACCTGTCAGGAGCTCAGTTTTCCAGACCTTGGGGGTTTTAGGTGATGAAGGCTAAATGTTGAAGGGCCCTTGGATCTCTGGTCCCCTAAATATGACCAGCTGAGACACCCACAGCACAGAAAAGCGTAGTGCATGAGGATGCCATGTACTCCTGATTCACGTTTGATCCATTTCTAAAAAGAAGATGGGAGGGCACTCATATCCAGATGTGTGACAGGAGCTGTAGGGAGGTCCACCCTTTGGAGTGGCTGATCATGATCATGCTCATACATCTTCCTCTTTTTCTTCTTCTTCTTTTTGAGACAGGGTCTAGCTCTGTCACTCTGGCTGAAGTACAGTGGCGCAATCTCAGCTCACTGCAACCTCTGCCTCCTGGACTCAAGCAATCCTTCCCCTTCAGCCTCCCAGTAGCTAGGACCACAGGTGTGTACCACCATGCTCAGCTTATTTTTGCATTTTTGGTAGAGACGGGGTTTCATCATGTTTTCCAGGCTGGTCTCGATCTCCTGGGGCTCAAGTGATCCTCCTGCCTTGGCCTCCTAAAGTGCTAGAATGGTAGGCATGAGCCACCACACCCGAGCATACTGTTTCTTTTTCTTCTTTCTTTCTTTTTTTTTTTTTTTTTTAATGGGGTTTCACCATCATGGCCAGACTGGCTTGAATTCCTGACCTCAGGTGATCCACCCATCTCCACCTCCCAAAGTGCTAGGATTACAGATGTGAGCCACCACACCCGGGCATACTACTTCTTTAATCTGTCCTGGTTACAGCCCTGCTCAGGTTTTGTCTCCTTTGGGCCCCACAGCTGCCTGCCCATCCCTGCCTGGCTCCTCTCCTAGCCAGCAGGCTTAGGAGGCTTCTAACCACTAGCCTCCTCCAAACAATGGCTAATTACAGTTCATCATTGAAATTGTCATAGTGTCATCCAGGCGAGGTGGCTCACACCCGTAATCCCAGCACTTTGGGAGGCCGAAGTCAGAGGATCATCTGAGGTCAGGAGTTCAAGACCACCAGCCTGACCATTACGGTGAAACCCCGTCTCTACTAAAAATACAAAAATTAGCCAGGCATGGTGGCAGGTGCCTGTAATCCCAGCTACTTGGGAGGCTGAGGAAGGGGGAGTGCTTGAACCCAGGAGGTGGAGGTTGCAGTGAGCCAAGATCGTGTTATTGCACTCCAGTCTGGTGGACAAGAGCGAAAATTAGTCAAAAAAAAAAAAAAGGAGGCCAGCGCAGTGGCTCAAGCCTGTAATCCCAGCACTTTGGGAGGCCAAGGCAGACAGATCATGAGGTCAAGAGATCGAGACCTGGCCAACATGGTGAAACCCCATCTGTACAAAAATACAAAAATTAGATGGGTGTGGTGGCGTGCGCCTGTGGTCCCAGCTACTTGGGAGACTAAGGCAGGAGAATTGTATAAACCCAGTGAGGCGAGATTGTGCCACTGCACTCCAGTCTGGCGCCTGGTGACAGAATGAGACTCTGTCTCAAAAAAAAAAAAAAAAAGCAAAGCAAATAAAAAAAGAAATTGTCATAGTGTCAGTCATCATCCCCCCTACTCCTGTTGGCCTGGCATTGCGAACTTCAACTTCATAGACCTTGGGCTCAGAGATGGAAGCTCATACATCTTCCACAATACTTTGCACATGAAAATTTGTTGAATGAATGGATGGGAAACTGGGTGGATGAAGAAAGCCTTTCCTATCAACAAAATTTAATGAGATTAAAGGCTAACTCCTGCACAAGGCTAAACTGAATGTGGTTTCTCTGAGTTTGAAGAGGAGTAGGGGGCAGGCATAGGGAGGTGGGTTTCACACTCCTTGCAAACACAGTACTGCTTGTGGATCAACAGGTAGGTACCAACTAATGCCAAATTTGGATAGAAAGCCTGATAGAGACTCAGGATGTCTTCCAAAGTTTGACTGCAACTGATGGCTGCCACTCAGCAACAAGTAGAGACAAGTGGCAGAGCACCACTGCCTCACCTTCTTTTCTCCCAGACTCCGTGACCTTGACTGTGGTGCTTTCCTGCATAGAAGGCAGCTTTGTCAGGCTTATGTCAGTCTCTCATGTCCTTATTCCCTCTTACCTGGCAAACTTGGTTCTCCTCCTGATTATTCAACAAACCTTTTAGAAAAGGAGACTGCTTATTATCAGTATTATTGTTAATCCATGGATTTAACATACTGAAAGATCCTATCCACCAAACAAACTGCATATTTTTTTAATAGAGACGGGGTTTCACCATGCTGGCTAAGATGATCTCCATCTCTTGACCTCGTGATATGCCCGCCTCTGTCTCCCAAAGTGCTGGGATTACAGGCATGAGTCACCGCACCCAGGCCCAAACTGCATTTTAAAATTGTTTTTTTAAAGTTAAAAAAAAGTTTTTAGAGATGGGATCTTGCTATGTTGCCCAGGCTGGTTTGAACTCCTGGCCTCAAGGCAATTCCCCTACCTCAGCTTCCCAATTAGCTAGAACTATAGGCAGGAGCCACTGTGTCCAGTTCAAGTTGAATTTACGTAATGCATCTTTGAAATCAGCATAGATGACCAAAGTTACTATATTGGGTAGATAGAATTCAAGCCCAAAGCAAAGAAGTTTCTTTTCTTTTTCTATTTGTTTGTTTGTTTTGAGACCGAGTCTCGCTCATCACCCAGGGGCTGGAGTGAGTGGCATGACCTCAGTTCAGCCTCTACCTCTCCACCTCCCAGATTCAAGCGATTCTCCTACCTCATCCTTCCAAGGCTGGGATTTCAGGTGTGCACCCCCACCACACCAGGCTAATTTTTGTGTTTTTATTAGAGATCGTGTTTCCCCATGTTGATCAGGCTGGTCTCGAACTCCTGACCCCAGGTGACCTGCTGGCCTCGGACTCCGAAAGTATTGGGATTACAGGCGTGAACCACTGCACCCAGCCCTGAGTTTCTTTAACTCATACATCCTTATTTCAGGTCAATGCATTAATTTTGTTTTTCCATTTGTAATATGAAAATGGCTCAGAGAAGTGCCCCCACATCCGTACCCTCATCGCCACCTGCAGATACCAAGTTAGAACTAAAGGCCATGTCTCAGCTCCTCCTAAGGGAGCCTGCAGTATGGGAAAGATCCTTTTCTCCTGTTTCCTGGGGGTGAGAAAAGCCACTGGGCTCAGAGACAGATCTCATGGAAAACCCACCTCTTCAGCCTCGGGGTTAACCAAAGCAAGTTTTTCCTATATCAGACCACCTCTTCCTTACCCAACAAGAACCAAGCTGAAGAGGGTCCCATAGAGGTGTGCTTACTTCACTCCAGCACAATCCTAAATGGCCCCTTTTTGCCCACCTCATTTAATAAGAATGTGTGCCTCTTATTAAATGAGGTGGGGGTGGTTACCATGGCAACATTTTGTTTGTTTATTGAGACAGGGTTTTGCTCTGTTACCCAGGCTAGAGTACAGTGGCATGATCATGGCTTATTGCAGCCTCAACCTTCTGGGCTCAAGTGATCCTCCCGCCCTGTACTCCCAAACTGTTTCAAGTACAGCCCGAGCCACCACGCCCAGCCACCGAAGCAACATTTAAGGCCCTCTGTGATCTGGCCCTAACCTACCTTCCAGAGGACCTTATCTCCTCCACCCACCTATCCATACTGCTTATTTTGCAACCAATGGTCCAGGGGAAATCAGGGCTCACAGCTGGAGGTAGGTGGGGTAGGGTGGAGGAGGTTCAGAATTTCCGGGGAGGGGTGGGTGTAGCTTAAAAAATATAGCATGACCATTTTATATGTGGAAAATGAAAACAAACTTCTATTTCAGTCCAATATAAAATACAAAAAGAAAATCTTCATAATGTCTTGGCTAATGGAGAACCACTGAAAATAGCAGTATCTCTGGCAGTATGTGTGGGGTGGGGATGAGATGGCCATGTTTTGTTTGTTTGTTTGTTTTGTTTTGTTTTGTTTTGTTTCGAGACAGAATCTTGCTCTGTTACCCAGGCTGGAGTGCAGTGGCGCAACCTTGGCTCCCTGCAACCTCCGCCTCCCAGGTTCAAGTGATTCTCCTGCCTCAGCCTCCTGAGCAGCTAGGACTACAAACATGCGCTACCACTCCCAGCTAATTTTTGTGTTTTTAGTAGAGATGGGGGTTTCACCATACTGGCCAGGTTGGCCTCAAACTCCTGACCTCGTGATCCACCTGCCTTGCCCTCCTAAAGTGCTGGGATTACAGGCATGAGCCACTGCGCCTGGGCAGAGATGG